TAAAATTATTAAATATTTCGAGAAAATTATATGTAACTGCTAAATTCATTATTTCTCTAAATAAATACTCGGAAGAGACTACATTATATGCCAATATTAAACTGCTTCGGAATGAATACCGACAACATTCCATGAAGGACCCAGTAAGTGTGCTGTCCTTTTTTCCCTTGCCATAATCGTGTAAGTTAGAAAGAGACCACAATATAATTACGAGCCACACGTCGACCTTGATGATGTCATCGTTTTGCTTACAGAATTTGTTTTGATTGTTCCATGGTGAAGATTTTGTTTGGTGTAAACATAATTCAGTCCAAGATATACACCTTGTACATTCTTACAGGGCCTTTAGCTGTAAAGTATTATTTTAGGTTTTTTTAAAATATAAACTGATATTACCTATGGGCTATGTACCTACGTTATAATTCCTTGTTTTAATTTTAAGGAAGTTATTATTTTTAGTGGTACTAATAAGTAATTGATTACTTGGTAAATGTATATGTATATTTTTTTTAAATAGTAATGAAATATAATGCAATCAAAACCCTTTATAATAAAACAAAAGCAGAACGAACAGTGTCTTTGTGTGAGTAATTTGACTTTCGACCTTATACTATAGTTCAAAAGTCCACATGTCACAGTACAAAACACTAATATTTATTATTACTCAATGATTACTATTGACAAAACAATAAAATATTGTTTGTACAGCTAATTTAAGTAGACGACCATGACCTCCGTTCGGTGCAAAAGCACCGACTTCGACGCCTACAATAAACAGAGTACAGACTACATATGGGACGCTTCGAGCTACGAAATGTTACTTACTAAAATCAGATTGTTTAAAAATATCAATATATCAATTAAACTTAAGAAAATGTACAATATTCTTTAAATATAAACTCTACAACTCTACAGACTCTACAAACGTAATCTAACGTTTGTTTGGATTATTATATGTATAAATTAAACGATTTTAGAATCATAAGAAAAAAACAGTCAATTTGTAAAGACATTACATATAAAAAAGTAATAAAATATGACACGCACCGAAGAAAATATCAGTGATGTAATATAAAAAAGTATCGATTCAAACGATTGTGACGCAAACTGTATGATGACCATGCGATGTCTGAGTCACAAAACGCGAGTACTATTTAATAAATACTTATTAATTTTGTAGCGTTATATTATTTATGTAAATATATTTAATTAATAATTACGTTGAGAAGTACTAATGAGGAAATTCGCCATCGCCAACTACGTATGCGCCGTCTGTCATAACACTTTTATTATTTATATTTTGAAACCAGTTCGTCTAATGGAAAGTTTTACTGAATATATTGAAATCTTAATCTATTAATAACAAAATAAAAAAGTCACAAGTAGAAAATATCCTTTGCTCTATCATAAAAATGGTAATGTAGGTAGGTATAAGAGTCTGAGAGAAACGTGTTCAAGCTTATCTATACCTACAGATAGATAAAATTGAAGTGTCTGTTTGTAGCAGGGTATGAAATTATCAAGATAATTATCAGATAATTATCAAACAGATATAAACTTAGCAATCCTTGTGTAGGTATTGGTATTTGACTATTTGCCTATCATAATTTATGTTAGAATAAATTATACACTTTTAACAATCAAGGTAATCTTTTATTATTATTTTTTTAATCATTGTTTTGACACATACAAACTTGGAAATAAAAACGGAATAAATTTAACCAACTATTTAGACACTATTTAATTAAATTAAAGGTCTCTGCCCACTATACCGTCTCATACCATGACCGTGCTAGGGCCGTGTCAGGCAAAAAAATATCCTTTGTATTGAAAAGTATGAGACTATGCCCACTAATCCGTTCCATCACCGACCAAGACCTTTCCGTCACCAACCAACACCGACGCGTGTCGGTGTCGTGCATGTATAGTTAACAATAATTGTCGGAAAGAATATTTTGCCGGTGCCGATACGCTCCGTGCCTGGAACGCGACGTTGCCGAACTGGTGCGCGCGGACGGCGAAACAATAAGCACACGGGTTATAACTGCATATGATGACCGTTCTAAGCCCGTTATAAACGTGTTGTCGCTTGTCTTCTAGTGATAATATTTTCTATTAAATTCTATTTTTTTTAAACGGCGCGAACCTAGTAACATTGTGATCGACTGATGTTCTCTTTCTCCCTCGTCTAAAACAATGGCTATCATTGTTAATTTTCTGTCGGACAAGTTTCTAATAGCCATCGTATAGGTATAGGAAATAATTTCCGTAACAAAAATATTCACTCGCTCATCCTGACGCGGCTGCCTCACACGCGAAACACAGGTGATCTACTACGACTGAGAAAACGGGAACTATACGAATGTGACACGCGGATGATACGCGGTTGATACGCAAATGACACGTTCTAGTGGGCATAGTAGTTCGTGTCGCTTGTTTCCGTACCTGATACGTTCATAGCACGGTCATGGTAGTGGGCACACTCCTTAATGAGTGGAATATCATCCTCATCCTCCTCAACTGCATTAGCTCAGTTTGCTAATTGAGTTTTTTGAGCTGATTGAGAGAGTTCAGTTAGCTGATCGACAATTTGAAGAGTTACAAATTAAATATTTTCAATTATATTTATCAAAGATAATCAATGATAATTATCGTTTCGAACCCTGGTTTGTAATGTAAAAATAACAACTTTTTATTAAAATATATAATATGACAAATATTAAATAAATATTAAAGTATATACTGTATAATGTAAATTATAATAATAAAAAAAATATTGTCTGTATGTTTGCTCCGGCTAATCTCCGAAATCGCTGGACCGATTTTGACAGGTTTTTCACTGGCAGAAAGCTGATATTATAAGGAGTAACTTAGGCTATTTCTATTTAAGAAGAAGAATTAGGGTTCCGCGCAAAAAACTTAAAACCCATTAAAATGGCGAACAAAATCCGCGTATCTAGGGAGTAGGGACGCACCCAAGCAAAGCGAGGGTAAACCGTAGTAATAAATAAATTAAATTATTGCATTATACAGGACATTACTTTTAATCTAACACAGCTATATGATCAATTACGATTAAAACACGATAACAAGCAATGAAGTTTAAATTAACCTTAAAACGGCCATTGCATTGGCCATAACTAAATGCCTCTTAACAAGTATTCATTCCAATTTAAATAGTTATTACACATAATGCAGATTTATATTCTTGGCTTGAACACTAATTAGGTATGGAACGTGACTCGTTGCTTTTAGCCATTTCGACAAAGTAAACTTAATTCATAGTTCCCGCTGCGTAGTTTCTCAGCGACACCCTTAAATTTATTTTGAGAATCTACCTACGTCATATGTATTAAAGTATATATATATATATATATATATATATATATATATATATATATATATAGTCATGAATCATCTTCAAATGAGACTTCTATTTACTTTAAAATGTACTTCTTAGATAAACCATAAATAAACAATTAAGTAACTTATCTAAGTATTTCTAGAATGAACTTCCTACTCTGTTTATTATTATGACATCAATTCTAACATCGTGTGTAATGGTGTTTAAATGAAATGCTTTGTTTTCACTACGGCTTTTAGCTTGCTACGGTCGACTACAGTTATAACAATAAATGTAATAATAACCTTTGTTGTCTAATGATTTACTATTCTGTTAGTTTAGTAGTTTGTAAGTTAAATGGATGGGTTTAGTGTAAGTTAAATGGATATATATATATATATATATATATATATATATATATATATATATATATATATATATATATTATCAGAATAACTTTCATTAAAACATCTATAAAAAAAATCCAAATTCTCTTGCGTTTTTTCATGTAAGAAATCTATAAGTCCATTCAATTCATCATTTTTAAAGTTATTTACTTGTTACGAGCACTTTTGCTTTTCCTTAAGTGTTTTAAAACAAAGCAGTATACCCAGACACTATATTCGTTATTACTTGCTTTCAAGGTAGCTTTTAATCGTTCATAATTGTATTGACTTCAATCTTAGCGAGTGAGTCAACGAGCTAATGAACCATTGCTCTTACAACTCATTAACAGTCTATGCCAGATATAAATTCCAAAACAATTGTTATCTCACATCGAATGCGTGGACGGTGGATGAGCATTGAGCACCGTCCTATGACTGACCTTATTGTTGTTTTTGCGCAACTATATGTAGATACCTAATAGCTGAATTTCGAAATTTTATTTCAATTCTAGGATATATTCTAACGAATATTAATATATATTTAAAAAAAGACAATAAAGTTTGTATTATGCCTAAAATATTGATTTTGATGAGTGCAACCAAAGTTATAAAAAATAATTTGTAATTACGTAATTTCAAATTCTTTACATAAACAACTTGTTAAAACTTAGTGAAATTTATTAGGTACTGTAATCCTAAAAATCCTTAACTTCTAGCGCAGTGCGTTTTTATGACCGCAGTCTGCAATGAAATTATGAAGAAAGTTGACGAAAAATGCCTTATGATGAAATGCTGAGAGATTGATATAATAAATATATCTATCAGCTAAAGACAAATACATTATTAGTACCTGCCATCCATTTTAGGCATCATCATCTTGTATCGCAATAAAAATCTGCGTAAAGCGACTATCATTCCACATTCTTTGACTGTTACCTTACTTTTTATTTAAAATATTTAAATAGCTCGTTTATCTTTTTAACATAAATGTATAATAAAGTAGTTGTAATGATACAAAATACATACTGAGCTATCTACAACTAGCCGCTAAGTAGGTAAAAATAGCTTTAAGCGTTTTATTCTACGAGAAAATTAAAAGTTCATTCGATAAAAAAAATATAAATTCTGTTTAGAAATAATCTTTTCAGTATTAAAATATCCTTATACTGGATTTATAATATAAATAAACATTTACCTTTTATTACTTACCAATATTTACAAAAGTGCTTATTTAAAAAAAAATGTGAACAACAAATAAAAAAGAAACTTACCTGCGATTCCGCTGAACATTTTGCTGGCTGTTAATAAATACCACTTAAGCAATAAATCAGGTCACAAATAAACGATCTAACACAATATTTTTAAATGTCGCACTAATTTTAACTCTGCTTCAAAGAACGCAGTATGACCAAGTCACCGTAATAATATCCGCAACCTTCAAGATCGAACCGCGAGTACTAGCAAGTAGCGAGTAGCAAATAGCAAGTGATGTGAACAAATTACAAAATCCAAACCGAGCTTCACTCGGTTCACGACTGAATGATACAATTACAATAGAAACGAACGGCCAAAACGATCGGGTCCACCTATATTACGTCACTCACTCAAATCATTGCGTTTCGTTCTTACTATTTTTTTGATTTCAAAACATATTTTCGTTTAATTATTTTATTTACTGTAACACATTATTACCTGTTTATTTAAATTTAAATTAAATTTAAACAATCCTTTAAATATAGTTAAATAATATTTAGAAAAAAAAAATTATGTATGGCAATTTTAGTTGTGATTGCTATATGTAAAAAATAACTTCATGTGGTTGCCTAGCAACGTAGCTTGTCAACAAATAAATTAAAATGTCACCCAATCCAAATATATTTATAGATGTTTTAGACTTCCCGTGATCAAAATAGCATAAATATAATAAGTCAAAATAGGCATGTCGAAGGAAAATAATAATTTGCGCCTGCTTGGCTCACCGGTGAATTTAACTTATAGAAATAAGAAAAAAGAAGACAGAAAAAATAATAGAAACCGTCCTCGGTCAGCTCTACAAAATTCTTGTGCTCCGGTAATAATACTATTTATATTATCATAATTTACAAAATGTTTTTGGAAACCATGATAACGTATAATCGTTAAATAATTTCCTACCAGTTTTTTGTTTAATTCAATTCAATTTACTTAAGTATAAATTATTCTTAATAATTCTTGAGTAAACATTTTGTATTGTTGTATTAGTTGAAAAGCAATTTATTGACAATACATATATTTTAAGGATATTCAAGAAAGATACAAAAGACCATTTTCAGCGGATACTAAAGATAGAACAGCTTCTTCAAAATCTTTTCTAAAAACAATTAGTGCAGAACTTCTACAGTCTTACAATAGTAAGTAACAAGAAATAAAATAATTCTTATATATTTATGTATTAATTCCTATTTTACACCAAAGTACCAATATTTTATATTATTTTCTATATCATATGGTCTAGAAAATAAAGATGAATTAAAGCTAAATATAGGACTCAGGTACTAAAGGAACTTAAAAATATGTATAACAATAAAATATTAAACATGAATATTATATGCATATGATATTACTATCAAAAAGTAAGATAATAAGAATACACTACTATATATAATATATATATATATATATATATATATATATATATATATATATATATATATATATATATATATATATATATATATATATATATTAGAGCTTAAAATTAAAATTATAAATATAAATTTAAGTAGCACTAACACTTATGGAACTGTATAATGTTAAATTATAGTTTATTGTATTCAAAAATAAATGTCAATAATTCTGATTAATTTCAGATTCAGCTCTTACTGTAAAAGTATTACCCCCCACTGAAGAGTTACTGGCAAATTCCAAAATATACCCAAAACAAACACCTAAAACCAATAGAGATATATGTAGCAATGCATCAGACTATGGTTCAGAAGACACTTTTATCAGTCTAGGCACTAAAATAAAAGCCAAGGCTCAATCATTTAAAAATAAAAATACAAAAAATATCTTAAAATATAGAAACATAGCTAAGAAGGGACGTAGGGCAATGGATAGTACTAATGATCAAATGATGAATAATAATTATGGTCTAGAAGTCACAATAACAGAAAAACCTAGGTCTCCATCACCTTGTAGGAATAGAGATATGTTTGATATGAGAACTTCTTCTCCACACTTTAAGAACAAAACATATGAATCGTATTTTCTAACACTAGAAGAAGAAGATAAAACTGAGAATGGGTTATCTGGTAGAGTTTCATTTGCACCTAATACAGGAAATGAGAAGACTATGGATGCTTACACTCGTCGATTAAGTTTAACTAAACAGCAATTATCCTTAGTTGAAGAGGAGTCAACCCAAGATCTTGATAGTATTCCTTCTCAAAATATGATTAGTCTATCACCAAAATTATCATACGATAACGGAAAAGTCGAAGATAATATACAGGCATATAAAGAAAATGAAAAGTGTGATATTTACCGTAAAAATACAAGTAATTACGTAAACGAATCTCAAAATTACACTAACTTCTATAACGAATTTCATTCAAATACTCTAGATGTTTATAAAAGTAAATTATCAAGTACTGGTATCCACACAGACACGTCATCCAAAGATTCAGGCTACACCGATAGTGGCATAAAAGATTCTACTCATAATTCGTTACCTAGATCGCCATTTCCGAAAAAGTCTGATTTCACAGATATTCGTGATCACACAAAAAGCTTAGAATACTCAACAATGTCTAAAGAGGATGGTTACAATAACTATAATTCTGATATAAAATGGGCGGAGCCTTTAAATCATAGTCGCTTGCTCTATAAAGATTTCTTTTTAAAAAAAGGTGATCATATAACTCTACCTCCCCAAAATTCTCCAACAAAGACTGACATCCACATCCCAGAAACAAACGAGAATTTAGCTGAAAATGCCGAAGAAAATCAAGTATTAGAATATCCTACATATCTTTTGAATAGTACTACGAAAGCTTATACATCGAAAGTTATTGAAGATTATAAGAAAGAATTAGAAGCTATTAACAATCTACACGAACTCACCTTAAAAGATATAAAAACTGACGCCATATCTCCTACTCCACTTAATATCGATGAATTATTTGAACAACGCTCAAGCAATGTTCTAGAAGAAAAAATAGAGTCCAGTGAACATTCCCAAGAAAGTAATATAAGCGACATTCCTTCAACAAGTCATAAAAATTCCTTCGATACCAAAAGAGATATATCCAAAGTTACTACGAAAGAGTTAATACAAAATTATCTTAAAGTAAAAGGCGATTGTCCAAAAGATGTCCCAAAAAATTTAAAGAAATTTGATAAGAAGTTGAACAATATTAACTCTAAATTTGAAGAGAATTCAAGTTACAAACAGTACTGGAATAATAGAAATGCAAAGAATAATTTAGACAGAGTTAATACGCCACCTAACGTGAGACCACAGAAAAATCAATTCACAACTCGAGTCCCATTAAGTGCTAGAATAGATAGCGTTCAAAATGATAAAGATATAGAATCATGGATGTCATTGTCCGTTTCTTCACCACGATTACTAGACATAGACAATTTTGAGGAAAAAAATGAAGAGTCAGTTCGTGTTAATTCAGAAGAAGGAAAAAATTGCGATGGAAATAAAGAAAGCGATACAAAAATATCTCCTGTCCAAACTCCTGTGAAAATATCACCTAAAACTCCGAAATCGCAAGATTTAAATCCAAAATCAACGGTTTTAGATATTTATTCAATGTTGAAGGAGATCGAAAGCTACGGGGATAATCCTGTGACTTCTGTTGTTAACACAAATATTACGCAATCTGAAGTCAAAGATGAAGAAAGATGCGCTACTCCAAAGGACAATTTTATGTGAGCTGAGTAAATTTATAAGTCGTAATTTTTTGTATCCCTCAAATTCATGACTTCATGTATTTTTTATTGCAGGGAAATCTTTGAATTTTTAGAAAAAGTGGAACAAAGCGCTAATGATGCTTTATCTGTTGTAACTAATACAACTCCTCAAACTATGCCAAAGTAAGTTAAGTGGATTTTAATGTATTTATTAAATAGGAGTTATTTACGTTCGGTTATTACTACGTAGGTACTAAACGGAAACAGATAATTTTAGATATATAGTTATTTTTTTTTAATTAAATGAAACCTTATTAAATCAAGGGACGACCATAAGATGAAAGGCTTTTGAAATGGTCATAAATGATTATATTAATTGCTACATTAAAAAAAAATTTTACTTGCTACTAACTTTTTTAACTGTTATAGGTTTTTAGCTGCAAGACCGTGTATGATCTTTATAGATTGAGACCTGTATCCAAACTTTTAATTATCATCCTGTTTCACCAGGTTGGAAGCCCTTTTAAAATTGCCGCAAACAGAATTAGCTCAAAGACTTGTAACTGCCTCTCTTCAGTTGGAAGAGCGGTCATGTTGCATCGCCCTGCTGCAGGAGAGCCTCGCTAATCATAAGGAACAGGTGATTTGATCAATAGATATAGTGGAAAATAGTTTTGGATTTTAAATGCATTGTTTTAAAACTAATTAATATTTATATGAAACTAAGACAACAGTTTTTTGGCCACATTAAAACATATCTCACCTCCGCGTCTTGTTTGAAGATCATTATAAACATCTGTATGTTTAATACATTAATACTTTGTTATAAAAATAATTATCCCAATTTAATTAAAACCATGACACTCAAAAAAGTAAGCAGTTTTTTTTACATTCACTCAATTTCAATCATTCATCTGCATCGTCGCATTAAGGAAGAGCAAAAAATAACGGCTAAAACACAAAATATATTATTTCTAAAAAATAATATTATTTTAGATGATATCAAAAGTAAGTAATTTGGAAAAACAGTCTCACCGCAATATAGCGAAAGTGAAGCAAGAATGCGAAGAAACTATCAAGAGGCATCAGAATTTTATAGACCAGGTCGGTAATACATACTATATATCGCATTGTTTAAAGTAATAGGTACTTATGCTACACTTTTTACGCGTTTTCGCTTGCGTGGTAGTAGCTTAGGTTTTAATTCAGGATATAAGCTAACCCTATTATAAATTTCATCAAAATATGTTGAGCCGTTACATCGTGAAGAAATAACAAAGCATTCATAATATGTAGCATTCATAATGGCTGCCAGATTACTTATAAAGTACTTTGTGTACATCAATGCTTACAATACAATATTTTGTGTGATTGGACATGGTGATACATCTATTTAATTCTAGATTATAATACTCAAAAATGTATGTATGTAGATAATTTAAATCGAATATATCTAACTCTACACTCGTGCATACATAGAACTTGTAACTTTGCTCAATATTATTTATTTACCTTGCATAATGATCTATCAATGAATTGAAATAAAATTTAAAATGTATAATATTTTTAGCTAATAAACGATAAGAAAACGTTGAACCATCGTATAGAACAACTCGTTGACGAGCGTCGCTCGCTAGAAGATAGGTGGAAGCGTTCCGCTCAATCTTTAGAGGAACGCTACAAACTGGAACTGCGGAACCAACACGACAAAATGGCGGCCGCGCAACAGGTAACTAAAATATAATAATTGATGGTATTTCACCCAAAATAGATCTAATATTTTAGATCAGTAAAGTATGCTCGCCAGGAAAATCTCCTGTTCTAATTTCGAGATTCGAATCTCATATATATTTATGTGCGAATCGTTTTAAATATGATTACTACTCGCTTAACGGTGAAGGAAGACATCTTCGGGAAGCTTCCATATCTGAGAGAACCTAGCAAGTATTCGAAAGACATATGAAGTCCACCGTCCCGCACTTGGCCAGCGAGGTGATCGGTGGACTATGACTTGATCCGGGATCCTCCATATTGTATAACTAGCGACTCACTTCATTCCTAGGTTGATTCCCCATACAAACTATCATTCCCATTTTCACCCCCTCAAGGGATTATTTCCGGGATAAAACGTGTCCTATGTCCCTCCCAGGCTCTCAAACTATCTTTTTACCAAATTTCATCTAAATCGGTTCAGTAGATTTAGAGATTACCTCATACAACGTCACAAACTCACAAACTACCTTTTTATAATAGGTATTAGTAAAGATAAATAAAAATATATGTCCAAAAATCCTTGGTAAACTCATCAATTGCAAACGACTGAACCGATTTATCTAACTTTCTTTTTCTAAATAAGGTTTTTAGCCAAAGAAGGCCTAAAAACCTATAAATTAGACCTTAATAAGAAATTTGGTACAAACTAAAATTCCTTTTTATATAAGGTTATTGTATGAACTCAAAGATAACAAATAAAATTTGGACAAAGCAGGACAAGAAAAAACAAGTTTGGACATGACAATGTCTCTTGGGCCAGCTAGTACTAGTTGTTACTTACTACATATTAATATTAAAAAATGTTCTCCTTCTTTAAAATATTAGCAATTTCTCTTTACCCAAAATTTAGCTTATTACCTTGATAAATTCATAGCGTTATTACATATCATTATAATATTATTTATTGTTCAAATTTGTAGTTAATAAGTCAATAAAAAGATTAATTCATTTACACAATAAAACTTTGATTTAAGGCTGATTAAAGGAATTTTAGATTAGATGTTTGTCTTAATTTACAATTTCAATTAGTTACTCAACTCCCGTATGGTCTAGTGGCTAGGATACCTGGCTTTCACCCAGGAGGCTCGGGTTCGATTCCCGGTACGGGAAATTGCTTTTTGTTTTGTAAAACTGAACTCCAATAGAAATCTTTAGTGCGGAAAGGAAAGGCGATACTGAACTAGTAGAGAATTAATCATTTTAACAATTATAGATTTTGATTTTCTATAAAGGTATATCCCTCAAATACTTTTAAATATAATTTGATCCCAGTTACTTTTCTGTTTCTGTTAGATCTCAATTACTTTGGAAATGTTTGTTCCTAAAACAGATCTAATAAGTTCTAAAATATAAATCTTAATTACATATATAATGATAAAAATTAAAAATTCACTAAATAATATCTAAAGCCTTTTCTAAATATTAAAGGTATAATAATTATTATACTTTATAACTTCAACTTCTATTGACTTGGTGTTTTTACATCGCATACAGATATGACGCAATATTGAATCTAATTTAAGAACCATGGTTGCTTGTTTTTTTTAACATCGTTTTTGGCATTTCCATTGTAAATGATATTTTGTTTGTCTAAATAATAGCCTTAAGTAAACGTTGCACAATTTCGTTTAAATGAATAACTCCCGTATGGTCTAGTGGCTAGGATACCTGGCTTTCACCCAGGAGGCTCGGGTTCGATTCCCGGTACGGGAAATATACTTTTTGTTTTTTATTTTATATATTTATTTTTAGTTTTTATTATTAAAATAAATTTAATTATTCAGTTATATATTACATTATTTTCCTTATTCCATTTTATGGATTGTTTAAGAAAGTTAAAGAATAGGGTTATTATGTTCTGCAAAAGCTACAATTCAAAAATATACAACTTATTACTTTACATAATATTTTAGTATATTTTTGATATTTTAGGTCCTTTTGATTTCTTTTTCCAGGTTGCTAGGCAAAGGTGGGTGCGACAAAAGGCGGAAAAAATTAAGGTAGGTACCGCTATGAATGCCTCTATTCTTAGAAGTACTTTTCCTTGTAAAGTCTATTTAGTATTATATTATATTACTTTTATATTATTTTTGTGTTTTGCTTTATTTTTCTGATTATAAAAAATTTAGTTTATGATTCGTTTTTGAAATTATTATTTACTAGCGACTCACCCCCGCTTCGCTCAGGTTCGTCCCTAGGTGATTTTTTCAATTAACATAACTTTTTATTTATGTATCGATTGAAATAAAACGAACACTAAACGTTAAGTTAAGCTTACCACGATACGTTAGTGAAAACCGCACAAAAATCGGTTAAGCCGTTTCTAAGATTAGCGCGCACAAACCCACAGACAAAAAGACAAAAAATCTAAAAATCAATGTTTTGGGTTCCATCGCGTTAAAAATGCCCCTAATAATAGTTTTTCTCAAATAATAATTTTCCATGTACATCGATCAGTTACACACTTATTATATGTATAGATTAGATATAATTAGTCCGTATTTATAATGTAATAAATATTATAATTTATCAAAAACAAAACTACAGAATTTTTAAATATAACAAAACATACAGAAATATATACCTAACATTATATTTTTTAGGAATTAACAGTTAAAGGCTTAGAAGGAGAACTACGTGAGATGGCGGAAAGACAGCAAAAAGAGATATCTGACCTGAAAATGTACCACGCAGAACAGAATGGTCGTCTGACAGCCAAACATGCGGCGGAGTTAGAAGAACTGAGACGGTGTTTAGAAGAAGAGAAAGAAGCGGCGTTAGTGAAGGAAAGACAATTAGCTAGTTCTAGGTAAGCTAACTAGTAGTGCTAATAATATTTTTGAAATTATCCTTTTGGCACGTTTGGAAAAACAATGAGAGTAAAATTTTCACATAAACACCGACAGCAAATTAACACACGTAACGCCATCTGTTGACATTTATTTTCACGAATATTTCTATGTCAACTAATCATAGTCGCAATGGTAGCCCAGCGGTAACGCTCGCTTAGGAATCCGAGTGATGTGGGTTCAAAACCCGGGTCTCGCACCTCTGGTATTTTCATGTGCGAATCATTTCCAATATGATTGCCACTTGTCTTAACGGTAAAGCAAAACATCGTGAGGAAACCTGCATGTTTGAGTGAACCTAGTAAGATTTCAAAAGACACGTTAAGTTCCCCAACCCGCATTTGACCAGCCTAGTGGACTATGGCCTGATCCCCCTCGCATAGGAGGCCCGTGCCCAGCAGTGGGATATTAAAAAGTGCTAAATAGGTACATATACATACATTTAACTAACCATGATCACACCAACAACTTATTTACAGAATGGAGAAGCAAATCCTAGAACTGGAAGTGACGTATCAAGAGCAACGCACGCGCCTCATAGCGGAGATGCGCGCCGAGAACGAGCGCGTCTCCGCCGAGCTCGGGGACAGGGACAGGGAGCAGAGGATGCGGCTCGGTAAGTGTTAAACTCAATCACTCACACACTTACTCACTCACTCACTCACTCAATGTTTAAATAGCTGTCGTCATAGTGCTTATATGTGCAAGCTATCAATATTATTTGTTTTAAATAATTAATTATCTTTTCGGATTCTTTCGCGGATTTATTTTGATTTGCGAAAATGAATCTAAATTAAATATTCATTTTATTCTGTTTTTTAGTATTTGTAGTTTGAAAGAATTGTAGATAAACAAATTTAATACCTACATATTTTTTATTGATTTAAAGATAAATGGAAAGAAGAACAAGAGAAACTTCTAGAAGAAAAGAAACAACAATTAGAGCAAAGTGTGGAAGATGAAAAAAAGAAATTTGAGGTATATCTACATTAATTATTAATATTAAATTGCACTCTACTGCCGGCGAATACTTCTTATCCGGGTATAGCAAACAGCTCCCGTGAGATATAACACAGTTAAATAGACTTACAATTCTTATTATAATTTTCAGGAAAACTTAAAAAAACAACGCGAAGAAATGCAACAAGAATTCGAGCAATACAAAAAAGAATATGAAGCGGAACAACAGATGTTACTAAAGAAGAAAGTGATGGAGATATCCGCTCAGCACAAGTTGGAGAGAGACAGGGAGATTGAGAAGGCGATAGAGAGTATGGAGGCGGAAGCTCAGGCTGGGAGGAGAGAGTTGCAAGAGGCTTTGAGGTAAGGTTCTAGTACACGGTTTCTTGAAGTGAATTATATTAATGGAAATAGGGTTTAAACAACTTAAAAATTTTATAATACTTTCATTTACGCGTATATTTGACATGTTAAATAAAAATTAAAACTCACACGCTATTATTCACACAATAATAACAATAATATTGCTTAAATAAATAATTAATATTTTTAATTTTCTTTATGATTATACATAAATGTATAATGATGGAAACACTAAATAATATTATTAATTAATTATGTCTTATAAAAATTGTAAAAAACATAATTAATAACAGCTAAAATGAAATAAATAATATTTCCATATTTAATTATAAAACTTCTTAAAAAAATTAAAACTTTACAGTTAAAATCAACAAATATTATAGTATAAACACAAAAGAACAATAGTAGAAACTTATTTACATAAATCTGACAATAAATAATTTAGTTTTAAGCACATGTATTAATTTCTGGTTTGTGAATACAATTCTGCAAAAACTATCCAGTGATACACCGATTCGTATATCGCCAGCTCGAGAAAAAGTAAGTCAACTTGACAAAGACTCTTGACAGCTTGATGTAGTGACAGATTAATTATCGAATATCAAAATAATGGATTTATCCTTATGATAGGATATTTAGTCCATTTTTGAATTTTTGAATTCATTTTGGGTAGGCAATTTCTGTAACAAGTATATAATTAACTTCGAGACTAATAGTAAGCTACATTAAATTTGCCAAAAATGTGTTTATTGTCAGAAATCAAATAATAATTAAATGCTAATGCATAATCTTAATTTGGAGGCACACGCGTAGCGGTGACTCGTGATGGTCAGCGTCTATAACAAGTACAAAAAAAATTAAAGGGTGCGTGTATGAATGTGTACACGCGTAAGAAGTAAAACTGCTGTAGGTTATCGGTACTCTTTATGAAATACAATGTATGTTTTAAATAATTAGGATAGGTGAGATACTAAAAATAACGCTTATTAGGCATATTATAATCATATATTTATAGAATATTATTTAAAGAAAGAATATAATATTACATATCATTTGTCAGACAATAACAACGGTTACCATGGCAACAAACGTTCGCCTCGCCCGTAACGTTACACTTTTAGTAACGCATTCACCAGCTTACCCCACAAGTCAAGCGTGCGTAAGGAGTTTTACTTCAAATATGTCATTGGTATTTTTTATTGTGTTTCAGAAGAAACAAAGAGCAATACGAATCGGAGTTGAAGGAGCTCGCGCAGACGGAGCAGGCGACGCTCAAACGCTACCAGGACGCGCAGGCGCGGATACGACACACGGAAGACAAGTGTAATCTATACTAATATTATAAAGAGGCAATCAGATAGCCTGTTTATTTAGGAAGGCTATAGGTTATATATCATCATGCTAATACACAAGGGAGCGGAGCAGTATATAAATGTCTACGAAACGTGCGGACTTCCATAAACTATTGTAAAATTTAATATTTAATAAGTATATATTTAATAAGTAATAATATTATTACCGCTGAGTTCTTTCGCCAGTTCTTCTTAGGTCTGAGGCTTCTTTCCGAACTGGTAGGTAGACTCATGATGTTCAGTTAAAAATGTTATAATTTGAATGTCATACGTGTATCTATCATCGTTTATATCTAGACAAATACTATCCGCGTATAATTGTTCGTGAGTATTGAGTACCTCCTTCTTTTTTAATGTCGGCTAATAACTAGTAAAGAGGTTTAAAGTTTTTTTATTTATGTTTGAGATTTGTTTGAAATATAATAGTAATGAGTTTTGTTACGCACGATTTTAGTCTGGTCATGAAATATACTTTTGTTTATTGTGTTCTAAATAATAATTTATCTATCGTGTAGGTTTTTTATTAATTCAATTTATAAAAAGTATTCAGTTAATATATTATTAATTATTTTATAGGCGCAGAATTAGAAGTAACTATCAGTCAGCTTGAAACAAGAAATCGAGTGCTAACAGAGGTATGTATCAGGCTCAGAGGACCAACTGTTGATGAAAATATATTTCGAATGTTGACGTTTTATAATTTTTTATAATACTTTCTTAGATTTAACCCGAATATTTGACATTTTAAATAAAACTGTTTGGACTTTTTTGCGGATTTATTTAAAAACATAAATTTATTTAAACATGATTAGAGATCGATTAGTTCCCACGGGAACCGTTCATTTTTCCGGGATGAAAAGTAACCTGTTGTTTGATCGGAAATATAAGGTATCAGAATGTTAAATTTTACTAAATTAGGTGCATAAGTTGTTGTGTACTAAGCTGTATAAGATACTATAGTTTTTTAACTATCCCACGGGAACTCTTTAATTTTCTGGGATAAAAAGTATCTAAGATGTTGACCGGGCATTTAAGGTACCACCATGCAAATTTTATTTAAATCGGTCCAACAGTTTCGGAGATTAGCCCCTACAAACATACAGAGAAACAAAAAAAATGAAAAAATATGGATTTGTTCTATTTTTCTTCTTACGGGATGTAAGAAGATAACTGACTCGGTTTTTAGCATTTTTTTCTACGTACAGACATTCGACCTCTACAGTTTTATTATATTTATAGATAGAATAAATAACGTATAATAAAACAGTAATATATAACAATGAAAATAGTTATAGCGAGTGTACCTTAGGAGATAGACATATACTATTGACAACTTTTCTATCGACCTTTTTAAGACTTACAATTTTCTTGTACAATGTTTTGATCTATCTCATAAGGTTGAGCTAGCGTTAGCCATATAAATTTCTAAGGACAATTCGATAGAACCAGTTAGTGTGTTTTCCCGTGGGAATGAATAATTGGCCTATCGTATAAGGTATCCTCAATTTTAAACCGAGTACTAAGTTGTCACTATACAAAATTTTGTTAAAATCAGTTCAGTACTTTTTGCGGGAAACGCGCACATAGATTTGACTAAGTTAGTTTTATTATAGATAAATAAGAATAGATAATGCTTAGGAGATATACATATACTATTCAGAACTTTCCTGTAGGAATTTTCAAGACCTACATTTTTTAGTATATTGTTTTAATGTATGTATGTCTTAAGGTTTAGCCAGCGGAAGGTTTATAGGGAGGCCCTGTCCCCCTTCTTACATAAGATTTTATCTGGTTTTAGAAAAGGATCAATTGCACTTAAACTCATAATTTGACGTAAATCAAAGGTTTTTATTTTCGAAAGGGTACATTAAAAAAGAAAATAATATAGATATTAGAGTTGTTTTCCCTCACGCTTAATTCTCAAATATCCATCACTCTATGTTTTTGACTTATTATTTTAATAATTTATGTAGTAAAAAACTAAATATAACATTTAGTGTTTAGGTGATATTGTATGTATTTTTGTATGTGACTCTAGTGTATTATTGTATTTATTTTATATGTTTTTCAGAAAAACAGTCAACTGGAAGCCAGAGCTGAGGAAATTAGGGCGAGTTGTGAAGAGTCCTGGCGCAGTAAAGTAGAGCAATTACAGAAGGAAATGGAGGATATGAAGAAAACACACGAGGAGCAAATGCATCAGCTATATGCAAAGTGAGTATTAACCATAAATAAAAACTTTGTAAAAAAACCGACTTCCAGGCACTGAAAAATAACTAAACGGGGTTTTTTATTTAGAATAGATACCTAATCAGATATTTTCAAAGTCGGTGCCAGCCGATACAAATCAAAGCACTTTTCAGTGCCTGGAATTCGTTTTTTTTTAGTTTTTATTTAATAACATATTCGATGAAGCCAATTTGTATAAAAATAATTTACTGTAGATTTTTTAGAAACCGCTCGACCGATTTCGATAAAATTTAAATTGGACCACCTGGGAAGTATACCCTTTGAAATAAAAACAGAATTTTCCTATTCGGTTCAAGCGTCTTCGAGTAATCACTAGTGAACATATAATACCTACAGTAATACATAAAAAATATTCCGACGAATTGAGAACATCCTCCTTTTTGATGTTGGTTGATAAAATACTCCATTGGATTGGGTTTATGTTTTTTGTATGTACATGTAGTATTCGATATTTTTAGCTATACGTTATTTGCATATCGCTTATATGTATTTGTTTTAGTTTTTTTTTTTTAAATAATCATTTTAATATTACAAATCTGTATCACATGTAACTTACGCCGAATTACCTCATAAGAAAAATAAGATCAATTGGTATAAGCGGCAAAAATCAACATAAAACAACGTCGAATCATATAAATAAAAGTGACCATTATTGCCTTTATTTCTCTTGATTCTAGAACTGTTTCCTTTTTTACGATATGACAATAAATAAAAAAGTTATGTCCATTTTTCTGCAATTTCAAACTTTAAACAGCTCTCCTGAACAATTTCGTTTTTGTTGCTTATACCTTATTACCTTTTAACCGTCGATGTAAATCGGTTCAGTAGATCCAGAGATTACCTCTCCCACCTCCCCTCCCGCCCTCCTACTACGTCACAAACTCACAAATTTTACATCTTTATAATATTAGTATAGATATTTCCGTCATAAAAAAGAAGACCGCAACTTCGTCAAAGTTGATTTCGTGATATTTGAAGTTTTGTCTTATTACTTAGTTATAGTTTGTACGTAGTTACGATGAAAATGGTTACGGTATCTCTGGATTCATAAGACTTGGATCTTTATGAGTAAGACTATCAAGTAACATTTGCTTTACTGATTCCGAATCTGCATTTAAGTCATTTTTGACCGAATTGTTAGTTAGGGCCTTCTTTATTATGGTAGGGGAGCCCACGAAGCTAAATGGGGATTTACTCGAGCGTCGTAGAGACCTATTGGGATGCAAAGCTTAGATGATAAGAAGAAAAAAATGTTATATGATATATACCTTTACATCGGTGGGGGAAGCGGCTATAGATTTTTAAATATGTAAAAAAAAACTGTTGCATAGACATCCTCGAGCGCGTCAGATATTGATAGCATAAATGTCCTACGTATTTTTAATAATGTACGTATGTTAATCTGATCGTTTGCATGATGCGGGTGGTTGTATTTAAGGGTTGAAAATGAAAAAAAAAAAAATTTAATCGAGCGCGTCAGATTTTCTAAGGGAGTGTTAAGTGCACCAAAAAAAAGCTCTCATTCACTAATCTGACGATTTCGATGGGACGCAAACTCGCGGCCATTTTCATAATGTGCAAAAAAAAATCGCCATTTTGAAATACTCAAGCGCGTCAGATTAAGATATATATGGTTCATCTTTATGTTCTAAACGTACTGTCTCATAATCTGACGATTATCTAGAGGGATTCGCCTGATCTGACAAAAAAAAATTAGAAAAACGGTTCACCTTAAAGGCCATACCTGCAACTTCCCGCTAATTCCATTCCTGTGCGCTTAAAATTGTACTTATGGCATTTTTGAGCTCAAAATATAATTTATGTGATATTTTGAGCTCGCAGAGTTCAAAGAAATAATATTTCTATGCATTTGAGCTCTCCCAGCTCGAAAGTCTGATAGAAGTTTCATAGAACACTATTTTTGGAATTTTCAAACCGCAATAACTTTTGAATAGATCAAGCAATTTTCACGCGGCTGACGGCATTCGACGCAGTTTTATCATCCTCATAAGTTATTTTCAGGTTTTAATTGATCGAACCAAAAATTTCGGAGTAATCCCGAAAAAACACTTTTTTCGGTTTTCTTTCGTTCACGATATCTCTCGAACGAATCAACCGATTTTGACCGGATTAGCGACGATCGGCGTGGTTTTTCTAGCTTAAGAGCGGATTAGTTTTTGAAGTTAATTGATAAAGCCGGTTAAAAGTTATTCCAAAACAACCACTTTCAAAATGATCTTTATAATCAGCTGTGATGGCGTCATGGTGGCAGAAACCAGAGTGGGGACGGAGTGAGAGAGTAATAGATAGAGAAAGAGTGAGAGAGGAATAGAAACGCGGAGAAGGAAATGTAGGCATCACGCAGCTGCACGCATTTAACTTTATCGACGAATTTTTGTTATTTCGGCTTGCGGAAATCGTCAGATTATATATTTTTCATTATTCTTGCATTATTTCCTTCAAAATAAAAAAAATTTAGCTACGCTCGAGAATGTCGAGATGACGTTTTTTTTTTACAACTTTGTTGCCCTCCCCTTTTTTTACGTCACTCTCAAATTGTCAGATTAGTGGAATATACACTTTTTAGGATGTAATTAACTCACCCTACCTTAATCTGACGCGCTCGAGAATTTCTGGTGGTCAATTTTTTTTTACTAATCTGATCCTGTATCCTTCACGGGCGGCCTTATATATGGGCCTCATGTTTTGTGGAGGTACTTAACCGGGTACAAGGTATCCCCCTGTATATTAATCTGCCGCGCTCGAGTAACTACAGAAAATCCCCTCTTGGGCTCCCCTACTATTATAACGGCAATATAATAAGAAATAAAATAAAATATAAGATTGATATTTAAAATAAATATTCTCACATCTCAGGGTGAAAGTAGCGGTGGCACGTAAAGACTCAGCGATACAAGCGCTAACGCGAGAGAGCGCCAAGTACCAGGAGAAGGTCACTCTGCTCGAGCAAAAACTGCAGCAGCAAAGGAAAGATTTTCTCAAATCTAAATAAACTTTTTTTTTTATAATATTTGGTTGTGATTTATTCTAGAGGAATTGCTTTTTAAATATTTTTTAAGTATTATATTATTTTAAATGCTAAATTATTAAATGACGTGGTACTTAAAAATGAAATAAGTATCTAAGAAAATCATTATTAAATTCTTTAAATGTATATTTTAGAACAAGTGTATCTTGAATAAAATCGGTTGTAGAATTTTATGTACAAACGTATGTAAATGTAAATACATAAAAAAACAATAAGAAGACGGCTAATAAATAAAAAATAATTACAAAGAATGTCGATTGAATAGTCGTAAGGTAATGAGTTTATATAACGAATTCATAGATGGCGCTGTTTACATTTTATGAGATGTTTACTACGGTTATGGAGTCTCATCAAGTAAAAAGAGGAATTAGCTTAAATAAATATAAATAGATGGCATTATAAGTACAGATTTACTATGTTTGTGTATGTTTTAAAATGAAAAAAAAAATTAGTGAGAAAAACCAAACAATGCGTGTTGTCCTGTTTTTTGAAAGCCAGCTATTAGGTTGTGGGCATGGACGAAGTGGTTAATTCGTTCATGGTTGTGGGTTTTAGTGCGTGTTCACAGATGGCGCTTTTACTTTTTTGCAGTTTTTTATAATACTTTCTTAGATTTACGCGAATATTTGACATCTATAGAAAATTGGCAGGGAGGTAGTTTAGAGCCAGGAGAAGGACATAGGATACTTTTTATCCCGTTCGACCGCGTTCCAATTTTTATGATATTTTAATTTTTGGATTTCTCTTAGTCCGGAATAGGTAAGTATTAAAACATATAATTAAAATGTGAGAAAGAAAGATTTTTTCTTTTTATATCTATTTAAAACGTACCTAGCGACGAACCCGAGCGAAGCGAGGGTGAGCCGCTAGTTTTAAATAAAACTATTTTTATTAGTTTTTTAAGACGTCTACAACCTAATTCTCTCCCGTGACCATGATTGCTTGCTGTAAAGCATTCGAAACGTCAGGAACCAAAAATCAAAATAAATCCGCGAAATAATTCGAAAAGATAGTTTTATTTAAAAGGTTTTTTATAATGTTTAAAAACTGTTAACTTCGTTCACGTTGTAATAACTCTACGATTCCAAATATTTTATTAAAAAAATGTTCAAATCCGACTAATCAGCGACCATTTTACAATTTAACGGCGCATAACATTTAGTGAAATTGTCAGAACCTCATCGATCCACAAGGTCACTGAATGTGCTTAGTGAAATTATAATGTAACTAGCGACTCACCCTCGCTTCGCTCGGGTTCGTCCCTAGGTACGTTTTATCGGTATTTTACAAATTAAATTATACTTATCCGTACCGTTTGACTACTAGGAAATATATAGATATTTTATTATTTATAATAACGTCAAAGTGGACATAGTAGTTTTTGTGAATTAAGTTTAGTTGCTTTTGTTTGTGAGAATGACTGAATAATTTTTTTCTTACTGAATATAATTTTTTTTTAATCTCCTGCCACATTTTGCCACGCTGCAATCAATCAATATTTTTTTTTTATTTCGACCAACCTGCATAGAAGATACCTTATACCATACTGGAATACGTACATACATACGTAACGCTACGATTTACGACGTAGCGACCTCTTCCGAGCCGACCTGCGGGAATAAACTAGTATACCTTTATATGAACTAATGATTTAACCTCACTTCGCTTAGGTGCGTCCATAAGTTCTTAGCAATAGCCGATAAAGTACCTAACTACGGTCATTTTTTCGGACCTTAGTTAAAGTTATCATGACTTCTGATAATAAACACATTATTATCAGAATAAAAATACCCTATAACATTTGTTGGTAATAGCTTTCTATAGAGAATTTTCAGAATTTTATCAGTAGTATCAGAGATTACCTTCTACATACAAACTAACAAACTTTACCTCTTTATAATATTAGTGTATATATAACAGATTAAATATTTGGATGAAAGTGGTGTTGGAGCGTATAGACTCGGCGATACAAGAGTGCAAGAGTTCAGTTACAGACAAAACTAGTTAGTGAAGGATAGTAAATGAACGTGTCACTGTGAACGTGTGATAAGGCGAAAGCTAGCAATAAATAATAGCAAATAAAACATCCCATTTGGACCTGGACCTAGAAACATGAAACTTATAAAAAATATTTACATAGTTCTTTGATGTTCAATGGTGTACAGAGTACAACCACAGTAATTAAATAGAAGAAATTTGAACATTTTATGCAAGTACAATTAAAAAAAAAAAAAACATTTTTTTTAATACTTTCTAAGGACACAAGGGCTCTGGCCTCTGATTAAAAGATATCTTTTGGTGTAAAAGCTTTAAAAATATTTCTATTTAATATAATTCTTTTAAAAACAATAAGAATACCGTCTGGTAAACACTTAAAGCTATGTATATTAGATCTTCCTTATTGGAATACCAACAACACAAAATGTACTTCAAAGTATTAAACATATGTTCAACGTAATTAAATTACAATATTACTATATAATACACATTACAAATGTTATTGAGACCATCTTTTAAGGCACTTACATATATGTATATGTGTGTAGGTACATATTTATAAATAAATATGGAAGACTTCATTCAACTGCTGAATTTATCTTTAGAAAAACTTTACACAATTTTATTTGAGTTCCTTCTGAGATAAACGAAATATTACTTAACAAAGTGATGTTTTTAAGAGAATCACAAATCAACAACAACAACTACGAGTATATACAACCAACATAGAACAATCCAGTACTAACAGCTGTCCAGTGATATAGCTGTGCTATACAGGTTCAATTCCCGTTCAAAATTGAAGTCTGTGGCAAAACATGAAGCCACATTTACATTTTCGCTCATGTTTTCATTAAACACTGCCTTAAATCATTCACCACGGTCTCCACATTTCTGAACTGCTCGACGCACCTTGTCCCGGCGACTTCGAACTTGTATCGGCCTCGACCTTCTGTTTCGGACTTTCAATTTTAATGCTGCTCGATTGTGCTAAGGATTCCGCTGTATGACTTATTACTGTTCTGGGAAGTCCTATCCTCTCATGCTTTTCTGCTACTGCTGGTATACTCTCAGGCAGAGTTAATTTGCGGTCGGGGTAACTTGGTATTCTGTCTGGAAATTTGCGAAATGCTGACTGCTTATCTAAAGCTATTTTTCTATCTAAATCTACTTTTTGAAGATTTATTTCTAATCTTTCAGATGCACTTCTTTCTGGTATCGTCAAAGTTTTATCACTTTCTATTCTAATTAATTTTGGCACTGGTCCTATCGTCTCTGCGTGTCGTTTTAACTTTTGGCGAATAGAGTAATCGACTGCTCGTTTTGGTGAGGCGTCGATCCCAATTTTGTAGTTTTCAACGTCGATCACAATCGAAAGGGGCTCCATTAACTTTTTATTTCGTAACGCCTCCTGTTTTAACGTTTCGGGTGATATTGTTGTTGAAGATACTGTTGCTTTTTGCTCGGGACTCGAATCTTGATCTGACGCAGAATGACTAGGGGGTGTTGGAAATGGGAATTTTTGTATAGGACGCGGTGGGGTCTCTAATTCGGTTGAAGAATCACACGCGGAGTCACAGGAGAGTGGACTTAAAGGTGGACTGGTGGGTTTCGTTGACTTTACATAATGGAAGGCACTCGGTCTTTCATCGTCAAGCCGTAGAGGATCCGGTATGAGCGGTGGATAATCAGCTGGATGAAGACGTTCAAATCCAGAAATACACGTGTTAAGGTGGTTTCCTAGTCGATATCTCAAGCCGGTTGGAACATTTGCAAGTCGGGAGAGGTATTTGCGAACTTCGACAGCGCAGTCACCAAAGCCGGCCTTAAATCTGTGAAGCACTGCGGGGTCTGCGGCGATGGCTGCTGCAAGTTGCTGTCTTTGTAGAGTTTGTAAATGCTTGACGGTTAATTCGAGTATATCTGCCTTTTCTAACTTCGAATGACGTGCTGGCTGTAAGGAAAATAGTTTAGTGTTAAAAAAGGAAAAAAACATTGCGTTTTGTAGTATTTATATAAAATTTTATATAAAATCATTTTTTATATATTATATTTATAGAATGTAAATTTTATTTCCTTAAATTAAAAATTATATAATAAATACATACGTCTTTATCCATAGCATCCATTAGAAGATCTTTTAATTCATTTAGACAATTGTTGATGCGCGCGCGACGTTTCTTCTCCATAATCGGTTTGTTCGTCTGAAAATTTAAAACTAAACATTAATTCACTGAAGACTAAAGACAAAGCGTATTTTTTAATATTTTAATAATTAAGAATATTTTTAATCAACACAAATGTACTTTTAATTTAATTATAATTTAATTAAAACGTGAAAACATTTTTGAAAATTGTCGCACTTTTTTATTGTCGAAACATTATTTTTTTAATAACTATCACATTTATCACTGAAAGAATATTTAGCAATCACAAATTATTAACCTTTCGCAATTCGGCTTTAGATAAAGCCTGCGAAGGCTCCGAGTTGAAACCGCTTTGGGAATCGTCATCTTCACTGCACGGCATTCTCAAACTGTCCACTAACATTAACTCCACTAAAATAGGTACGCCCTGAGCGACGTTTCACAATGAACTGACGTACGATGATCGTGGAACAATATTTAAATTTATCCACCATATTTGTTCATCCTGTTTGATAGACATTATAAGAGAATCATGCTTTCTCTTTCCAACATATGGTTGTAAGTGCTGGGAACTGTATCGGAATGTTTTGTTTTGGTTCTATCTCGTTCTAAGCGGGAACCTGCTCCAAAAGGCACTGCATGATCGTTGGCTATAATCATCGGTAGAAGCAAGTTCGATTCCCGCTCAGTATATATTTTTATTATATTGACGATACACCTACGCATAATTTTCAATTTCTACTTAATTACTTATATTAAAACGTACTTACTAGGTACTTTTAAAGTATAGAATTTTTAAAACCTTAATAAGTGCTTATTTTAAAATTCAACGTATTTTTAAAACTAATAACACCTACTTTTAATAATATTTAAAATTTAAATAATATCAGTTACAACATTAGAGATAAGGATACAATATTAGTGTATAAAAAAATACAATTCGCAACATAATTAAAATGAAGCTACAATTTTTATACCCTCATTCAAAGCACTATGGGAATGTATGACAATCGACGCGTCCATGAAGAACCATAATCCCCTTCTAACTAACCTTGACGTAAAAACCTTATACTTCATGAAACCATACCTTTCCATGAAGTACCATATAAAATTCTTTCACAAATCGGTAAAATAAATTCGATACTTGAGGGCAACGTAGCGTAAAAGGTGAGTACGGTTTTTTATACGTTAGTGTAGGAATTGGGCTCTTTATGGGGTGTCGCGCGTTCTCACGCTGTGTGGGAATGTAGAAAGGTGCAAGGGTTCAGTTTCGGACCTTAGAGTATGTTTGTTTGTCATGCAATTGAATATCCATAGGTAGTAGATAGCTTACCCCTTGGGTTATCATTTACGTAGTAGGCAGAATTAATTGATTACTTTTGCTATAATCATAGTTATTTATTAAAAAAATAATAATATTTAACTGTCAAAAGTTAATAGGTCATTAAAAAAATAGTTATCATTAAATTAAACATTGTTTATGTTAAATATGAATCAATTTCATCCATTTAAATTTGAAATATACATAGGTATCTTATATTTAGGTAATACATTTTAATTTGAAAATTATACAAATATTTAATGGACAACGATAAACAAACTATCGTTAGAATTACCGTTTTAATATAAAAGTTAGTTAACATTGCGCCATAAAGTGTAATTAATTCATTCCTTAAACACTAAATAATCTTATCAATTCATTTTCTCACATACAATTAAGAGTCTTGAACATTATTGGATTCTTGCATTAGACCAATAATTTACAGTTCATTATGTAACGAGTCGGTGACCGGACCAGGTGTTCTCAATGACCTTTATACTATCCCACATACCGACATGCATAAATTTTATATTAATATTCAATTTACTTGTTTCTCCCACGGTCCTTTTAACAAAAACCACAATAATACTGAATCGTTTATAAAAAATACATTTGAAAAAGCGACTTTATTCCAATAAAATAAGAAAATGCAAGCGCGTTCCGAAACGCAAGAGTAAAGTTGTCAAAGAAAATAAAACAAAATTATTATACTACAATTAAAAATATGCCGTAAAACCTTAATTGTGCTGTATTTAAAGTCTAAAATAACTTTGCATATAGAATCCCTGAATGAAATTTAAATTGGGTTCAAATTGCACCAAATTACTGACATAACCGTCGTGCGGTTACTTTTGATCGTAAAAGCTTTACGATATAAAAAATAAGGTTCAAATTAATTAACTTATTTAATAGTTGGAGTAACTATTTGTTTGTAGCTGCATGCATCCGAATGTGACGAAATTGCATGCAATCGCGTGATGATCAACGAAAGTGAATAGCCGTTGTCATATGTCGTTGACGCGTCAAAGGGGATCAGTGGGAAAACTTGTATCTACTGTAATCATCCTAATTACCAAATTTTTTATAAATATTTAAATTCAAACATGTTAGAGGGTGAAATTTATTAGACTTTTCGTTTAATTACATTTAGCATATTCATGTTTTAATTTAACAGTTTTGGAGTCCCGTTAAGTTTGTATTGATGTTAGTTTAGTAATTGAAGGAACTAGATACGTATGATAGGTTATCTTTAATCGGTTGATCGGATAAGCAACTAACGGATTTTACCAGTCTCATGGTCCCAAAATGTAGTCAAATGATTTTTCTAATTTGAATGATAGGTATCTATTTATGGCTTAATATGGCTTCTTGTTTTTAAGAATTAGTTCAATCTATAGATACCTATATATAATAAAACTCTAACTGAGTCGAATCTGTACATTAAATATTTTTTGGAAAATCTCATTGAAATAGTCATCATTATCAATACAGAGGCCGAATCTATAGTTTTTTTTATTTTTTGTCTATCTGTCTGTCTGCCTGTCTGTTACCGCATCACGGATAAACCACTAGAAGGATTTTAATGAAATTTGGTATGATGATACCTGGCTATTCGGGTCAACATATAGGATACTTTTTACTGCGGGAAAATATGTCGTCAAAGAGAAATCTATACTAAACGTTAAAACGTAAGAGGGGACGAACCCGAGCGGAGCGAGGGTGAGTCGCTAGTAAGTAAATAAAAATAAAAGCAAATAACGTTAAAAGATTTACAAGTTCAATACTTCATTAAAATACATGCTAACGCAAAGCATTTTCGATGTACGTAATTAAACAATAGAATATTAAATAACAAGAAAAAAACGAATATATTCATACAGTATTATGAAGGAATAACAAAAACAATAGCCGCCGTAATCGAAAGTGCAAGTAAAAACAACAAGGCAGTAAGATTTTCTCACAATATATCTCGAGTTAATCCGAAGGGGTCGTGTGAACGGACCCCAGTCGTAACGGTCCTTCCTTCCGCCCTATGGCGGATATAATAAAGGGTGACTATTAGGTATTAGTAATAACAGGATTGAGGAGAAGATTAAATGTACCTATTTCATGGAAATAACTGATTTCGTAACAAATCAGCATGAGCGAACTTATTCTATGTAATATGTCATTATTTTTGTTAAAAACACTTCTATTCCCACTTCGATTTATGTATGTACTAGCATTGCCCGCGGCTCCGCCCGCGTTCAGATGACCAAAAACTAAATTCTTAGGTGTTACATATTAGTATACTCTTACATTGCAGTTTTTGTATTTTTCCTCAGAAATAAGATATTTTCCCGCGGTAAAAAGTATCCTAGGATCGCGCGCTACATCGCCCGGTTTATATAGCTTGAGCAGGCGGTCGAGCGATGCGGGGCAGAGGGGATGGACTCGCCGTAGGCATCTCAATGCTCGCCAAGCATTAAAAATGTTTCGCTACTAATTACTTCTAACAACGATATCTCAAAAACTATTCATCTGATTGATTTAGTGTAAAGAGCAATTTTAATCTGCATTAAATGACTAAGCTAACTAAAATATTCATTTGGATAAGGATTAATACCGAACTAAAGAAAATAACTTTGAAAATAACGTAATTAAAAATGTTAACATAAAAGTGGTTATTGTAAGTCAACCGTAAGAGATAGAGATATGCTATCGCGGACTTTTTTGTAGCATTTTTATAGATTTTGAATTCTCTAGTACATTACTTAACTGTATCTTTGCTAGTTTACGCGGCGTTCGCGTGGAAAGTTCCCATTTGGCGAGATTTTTTGCGACCTCTTCAACATTTGTCGCCGTATTTCAGCTAATTTACATAAAAGCATAATAAATTATATACCTAAACCTTCCTCAAGAATTACTCTTTCTATTGTTGAAAACCGTATAAAAATCCGTTCAGTAGTTTTCGAGTTTATCGCGTTCAGACAGACAGGAGGACAGACAGGAGGACAGACAGGAGGACAGAAAGACGCGGCCGGGGGACTTATTTTTATAATAAGTATAGATTAGTAGTTAGAACCCTCTTTATAGCATTGGATGTACTTACTAATCCTTGAGTGAGATGCTTTTATAATATCATAAATATTTATAATATTAGCATAGATTTTTAAAATTATATACTTATGTACAAATTAATAGATAATAATATGTTTATAATTTGTGTAAAATACGACATACTTACATAATATTAAAATCTGAAAAACAGTTCATCGTCAAGGTCGCCAGGACTGAAATTTATAAATGTACGTATCACGTATGTATACTGTAAAAACTAACAAATAAGATTTATAACTTTTAAGGTCTTGTATTTAATAATTTTAAAAACTCCTTGGGAATGAAATGGTCGCCCGCCTCCAAGCTACTTCAACTTGATAGAAGTATTGTAAATTATAATTTTACTTTAAAAAAATATAACGAGTTAATTTATTAGTCCCGCTGAGTTTCTTTCGCCAGTTCTTCTCGGTCTGAGGCTTCTTCTTTCTGAAATTATAGTAGACTCATGACGTTCAGTAAAAATTGTAATAATCTAATGCTGAATAAAATATTTTGAATTTGAATTAAAGAAAAGGTACCTATATGAATTTGGTCACCCTAACCCGATTAAGTATAAGGGATCATGATAAAAGAAACTTATATGAGGTCAGTAAAATGTTTACCGATCTACTAGGTTTTTGTTGGGGAAGTTTTTTAGCAATCTACTTTTTGTTTCATGTTTCGAAGAAATTTCAGTCTTTCTTTTAGTGAAACTAATAGTGAGGCCTACAAACTTTTTAAGTTTATTAGTAACTAGCGACTCACCCTCTCTTCGCTCGGGTTCGTCCCTAGGTTGATTCCCCATACAAACTTTCATCCCCAGTTTCTCCCCATTAAGGGAAGATTTCCAGGATAAAAAGTATCCTATGACCTTTTCAGGGTCTCAAACTATCTTCTTACCAAATTTCATCTAAATCGGTCAGAGATCACCCCCTACAACATGACAAACTTTACCTCTTTATAATATTAGTATAGATTTACATACAAACATAATTACCTCCCCG